TTTTATGTAATTTTATTTATAATATAAATATGTTAAAATTAGATAATATTTAATTTAGAATAAACAAATAAAATCAATAGAATAAAATAATAAAAAGAAAAGAATTAAATAAGAGTAGACCTGATAAGTTCCATTGCTGCTATTCTTGCTTTAATTTCAATATCATCATTTCTTCCACTTCCTATCCAATTATCATCTCTAGTAATATATCCTATTTCAAGATACCTATCAATATCTTCTTTTATTTCTGGATTAGTATTTTTCATATTTTCCATCATTTTAAGTTCATTTTCAAAATACTCTTCAAAGAGTTGATCTTCCCATCCTTCTCCTGTATTATTCATTTCCTGTTTTATCTTTCTTTCTTCTTTCTTTTATGTTATTGTCTCTTCTTTTCTTTTAATCATTTTGTTTTTTTGACTTTTCTTGTTATTATATTTTATTATTTTTTTATTGAAAAAAGAAAAGAAAAATTAATAAAGTTTTATTTGATTAAATGTAATATCACCTCCTGACTTGTCTAATATTTCACTTGCTTCTTCTTCACTTTTTCCACCAACCATAACTTGTTCAATAAGAGGAATTGGGTATCGAGGAAGACATGCATTTTCAAAATTAGGTAATGTGGGTTTAAAGATGGGATTAGTTTTCTTAAATGATGAATCACCATGAATTTGTCTAATGTGAAAAGGTTTCTGAAGAATATAGTCAACGTCAGTGTTACTCATAAATTTAATCTTATCATCTTTAATTCTTAACACACTTTCAGAAAAGTCTATAACTGCACCAATTGATTTAAGTGTATTTGTCCCTATTAATAAATGGTCAAGAGGGGAATCATCTCCAAGTACATTTAATGTTGTAATACAATAAGTATTTCCAATAATTATTGGAACAAGATGAATAACTCCTATTGTTTGTGTTCTTCCTACACCTTGGTACATTTTTTTTACTCTATAATCTATTTGTTTTTCTAAATTACAATCTTTACATGCTTTAATTGATATTACTGTTTCTTGTGCTCCACAATCTATCATTGCTTCTTTTACTACTCCATTAATTTTAACTTTAACAAACACCAAATCTCCTTTAACCAATAATTCAGGGTGTTCGTTTTCTAGCACTTTTATTTGTCTATCAATTTCTTCTTGTCTTATTCTTTCTTCTATTTTCTGTTGTTCTTTAACAATGTCCATTCTTTGTTTTTTGTCTTTTTAGTTTTTCACTCTTTCTTTATTTAAAAAAAAGATAAGATTTTTTAAATATAAAACAGATATTAAATTATATTATCTTAGTATTGAACAATGTGTTTACTAATTGTAAAGAAAAACAAACAATATATAGATATTAAAGAACATATAAATAAATGATAAAGTAGTAACAAAATGTATAATAAGAAAGGAATAGAAAAAGGGATTAAAAGAGAATAAGAATAAGAATATAAAATGGAGTGAACAGAAAGATAATATAGATAACACAAATAAGAAATAAAAAACATTAACAAAGAAAATAAAAAGAAATAAAAGAAAACAAAATAAGAGATAAAGAAAAATAATAATTAGAAGAAAAGTATATTCAAAATAAAATAAAATGAATATAGAGAAACTCAATTAAGTATCAATAGATCTGGTTTCTATACTTCTTTAATCATTGGAGAATAATCCCGTCCCTGCTCTGTAAATAAGAAATAAAGAAAGAATAAAGAAATATAAAATAATAAATTGATTTATCTTATTTTATTTATATTTTCTTATTTTTATATTTATTATAATAATGTATTGTTTCATTTATATTTATATTATAAATAAATCAATGAAATGATAAATAAAAATATTATTTTATTATATTTATTTATCTTTTGTTTTTATTTCTATTCTTGCTTATTATTTAATTATCATATTGAGTGTGAATATTTCAAATAAAATAAAACAAGAAATGAAATATGTTC